AAAAAAAAAAAGAAGTGGATTTAGAAAACCAACCAATGGTTCAGACAAATGTTTGGCTCAACTTGAAATGACAACTATGAAATGCTCTTTCAAATAAGCAAAACTATACATAAACTAGCATTATAAACTTACCAAAATACTATCTATGTTAGTTATCCCAATCTTCTTCATATATTCTCTTTCCACGATACCGGATATGACCAATGACAGGCCAAGCTTCATTTCATACACAGCAACCTGAATTGGTTGAACAAAGTCTATGTACTCTGAAAAATCTTCTGACAATCTATTAATAAAGGATTTTGAAGTGGCCTGAAAATTCGTAAATCCAAAAGAATAAGATAATGCATAAACGAACAAACAAGTTCACGAAGCTGAGTAAAAGTATGCCTCACCTGCCAGTTATTTGCCATCTCAATCATAGTATCAATATCTGCATGGCATCTGAGATTATTTAGCAGCGAGGAGCAAGATACAACAAGCTCATTAAAATTACAACATGCTACTTTCAGCTTTTTATATTTTGAAGGTTCTGGGCGAAAGACAACCTGAGAGCAACACGATTAGTTAAAAATAACTTAACTTTCTTGATAAAATTTCAGCGAGATAGACCCGAGAAGTAGAATGGCAAGAAAACCTTCAGAAAATGGACATAAAAGAGTTCAAGCAAGGAGAAGCAAGCCATCAACATCAACATAGTTTATTAGAAAGCTAAATTCAAAGGTATTATTGATTAGATGAAAAAATAAAAATGATGCATAAAAAACAGTTATACATAAAAGAAAATTCTAATTTCCAAACATAGAATTTTGTGTTTGACAACTGATCAATCATACACCCTAAACACTAGTTTTAAAGTATTTAAGTATTACCTTAGTTCGTGCTCGTTTCTCTTCCATCTCCAACTTCTCTTGAAATCCTCTAATTTTCTCATCCACTATGACACTGCTTTGTCGAGATAGATACTCGCATTCTTGGCGTACCTGACAGTTAAAAATGAGAAGAAACCTATCAGTACAGCCATCTGCCAGCTCTATGCACACAACTTTAAAACACAAAGCATACATTTCTAGAGGCTTTTATCATGGCAAAGAGTTTTTGATTTAAGCAAAGTTAAAAAAAATCAACTCACTGAACTATGAATTATATGTTTCTTTTCATTCTCAACAGAGAAGGTCACCATGATATACCAAGGAATTTAAAAATTGAAGCATGTTTCATAAACTAGAAAACAAAAAGAAGAAAGAACCTTTTTCTCAAGTTCAAGAAGGGACTTCCTCTGTAGTATCCATGAATACTTCAAAGCATTCTTCACAACAGGATCATGTCCATCTGGGTTTACTAAAAGATGGAAGCGTAGTATCCCAATATGAACCCATGCTTGGCCAAGGAAACAAAAGTCTGTATAAATACCTGATGAACATTATTTAATTTCATCTTAAAATTATTATTGTCAAGAGAAGGCTGCTGGCAATATGCATGATTAAAAAATGACTAAAATGGGTAACATAAAAAAGCAGCATAAATAAATGCATACCATTTGATGAGCGTCCCATATATAGTTCTTCAAGCAGCGGTTGTATAACAGGCTCCATAAGTGAAGAAAACGGGGCATGGTTTGAAGACAAAATCAATGATCTCAAAGTTTGCAGCTCTTCAGGCTGTAGTCAGCACAATATTCATAAAGGAGGATTCATAAATAATCAATACAGCCCAGAATTTATCAAAAAAATATTAACCTCAAGTTATTGCAAGACATGCACCATAATAAGGGAAATTTTAAAATAGAGAAAAGTTTAAATGTAAAAGCAATTAGGGTGGGGTATCAAATGTAATTAAAAAATCATCAAACCTTTTGAGAAAACAAAAATTACAAGAAGAATGTAACCATACACCAATGTGTATTAATGACTCTAGGTCCTAAAAAGCATAATGAAAAATAGATATAAGATGGAAGAAAGAAGAAATTCTGTGTGCCTTGAATTAATACTATAGAACAGTGAGTAAACAAAAGAACGCAACACAAAAAATGTTGAAACTTCCACAGAGAGTCCCAGGCACGAGCATCAAGTTGCAACAGTAAACTACTGCATCTTATGCTTACATCAAAATAATGCCAATAAAAATTAAGTTGATGAAGGAATGCTTACCCTTGCATCACGACTTGTCAATTCGGATAAAATTGATTTGAGCGTTGCAAATACATCTTTATCAAAATGTTTTTCATGTACAAGAAGGATCTATACCAATTCAAGAAGAGATGAGCAAAGTTACACAAGCAGCAAAACCAAAAAAATAAAAATAAAAATAAAAATTAAATCATTAGACCTAAAGTATGTACCTGTCTAAATAGGCAATTGGCTGAAGATAAGAGAACGTTAGTTAAACTATCTTGTAGAGGGGAATCTTGCCAAAGAGCTCTGGACATCACTCTAAGTTTCAAGCAGTTCACATCAAAGTCCTTTATTCGAAAATCACCTTGGCTGTTGCAGAGAATAAACTTACAACAGTCATAATTATAAAAAATTGTAAGTGATTTTTCTTATTGTAATTTCAAGGAAAAAATTAAAGAAGAAAAAATATCTTACAGGATGAAACCTAAATTTTGTATTCTTGTGGGGAACAAATCATAAACTGATCCCTTTAACCAGGGATAACTCTGCAGGAACACAAACTCTATAGATGTAAACCAGTTAACTTTTAACAAAAAAAAATGAGAGAGAACCTAGTTAAATGCAAATACCTTGACTCTTTCAGAAAAGCAATTCCACAATGAAGAATGCCATCCAAACCACATTTCAATAATCAAACTGGAAAATTTTGGATTTACTGCGGCGGTCATTGAAAAGAGATGTTAGAAATTAGCGGAAAAAAAAAAAAAAAAAAAAAAAAA